TCACTCTACAGTCTTTGACGGAAACAGGTTTTTTTCAAGTAGTTTACTGTGCTTCCTTCATTTAATTGTGATTTGTGTAGTTGTGGTGACCTTTGACTTATCTAAGTTGTGGTTCTGTGTCTGAATGGTTGAATGTCTTATCTTTCCATGCTCTTTTGAAGGCTGTATTTCTGCTAGACTTTGAGTTTTGCACAATCACTTACATGAATCTGACCAATTACATCATATTCTCACATGTTTTGTTGGTTTGTTTTCTAATTCTTCTAGTACTATTCTTCTAGTACTTATTAATTTTCAAATCCGCTGATGTCTTGTTTATCCTTTGGGTTATTTGTTTTGGTTCGACTTCACCGACTTGTCATTTTGTTTCATATTCTCCCCCTTTTGTTCTCAATTCTGCAATGCTGACCAGACCAAATCCCATGAATACAGATAAAAGAGGGTCATCCAGTAATGTCTGTCACTTTTTCTTTTTTTTCTCTATGGAAGTGTATGATAAATGTTTTTGAGTACTTAGCATTTAAAAGTAAGATCTGTTTTCACCTCTGATGTATTTGAATGTGAAAATATTCCACATAAGGTGTACTTGGTGACTGGTTCCATGCTGCATGCTGTCAGTGTGATGTCTCGGAAGATGGTGTCCTTCTGTATCTCATCCAAGCCTCCAAAAGCATGATTTTCACAAGCCCAGGAGGTTTTGCATGTTTTACAATATTCAAACTCTACATTTAGTTTCAAGTGCTACAGTATGTCAACTTGGGAGTAAACTGTTACACAATATTGATTCACTCTTGTTTGACTGGTGGAGGTTTTGCTAAAAAGACAATGTGTGCTACTCTTTTCATATAGTGCAGTTAAGTCTTGTTTACATTCATTTCAAAGTAATGGTATATCTCATTGAGATATTATTTTGCTTATGAAATAGTCATGAAGTGCCAATCTCCAACATGATTAAAACTAAGACAAAAATTTTGAGCAGTTCAGATTAATCCTCTTATTATGTCAGGTAAGGGTCTGGTTGAGTAGATGATAGTTTGATTGGAACAAAAGCTGTGGTCCTCCAGAATCAGGATTGGAAAGCCCTGAACTGTGCAACAGTAATGATGTACTCCAGTGTAAATATGGTCATGAATGATCAATCACTAAAAATGATGCCAAGAACACATCTATATACTTTATTTTTTAAAATGTGTTTCATGTCTTATCTCCTATAAAACATTTCACAATGGTGTTAGGTTATACTCCTTGATTTTGATTTTTATTCCAGATAGTTCTATTTAGTATGGCCTTCAATCCCTCATTTGTTGAGGAATGGAAATTCTAGTACTTTCCGAAAAGCAGCTTCCACTTTACTTTCCAAATTACTTTTACGTTCTGCTCTATATGTGATGTTATGTTGAATTATATTTTGGATACATTTACCACATTTATAATCCAAAGATCTGCACAGTGCAGTATTTTTGAAGGTTATGTAAAATAAAATTCTCTGAAACATTTTCTTACAGATTACTGGCTGACAGGCATTAAATGTAGCATGTGCTTTCTAGAAACAGTTACTCATTTTAGTTGTAATATTGAATATCTGAAATGCAGTGTTTTTAGAACAAAGCTTTCAACTACAAATGTTCCCTACAGTGGTGGCAATGTTTTTGGTCTGAAATTAGGAGGTCGGTTCTATCTCAAGCCCATAAATTTAGCATGTAATGATAATCTCCTTTTCTTCTCTATACCCATCCTTACCTCTATTTATTATGGTGTGAATGTTTGTAATTCAAGCTATTCTGTATCAGCTGAACCAGTTCAGTCATCCATAACATTCTCCTCCCTCTGGAGTCCTCTGGCATTTTAACGAAGCCTTGCAAAGCTGCATTTCCTGGTCTGCAACTCTGTTTAATGCTAGTGTCTGAAAACAAAAGACTGTCTGGGTTTCTTGAATTGACAATTAGATATAATTTATGTCTGACTTACAGTATGAGGATGACACCCATCTGTTATGTTTAGAAAATACTCTAAGAAGCTTCACAAAGCAACATTATTGCTTATGCTTCTAGAATCATTACAAATAATATTTTTAAAACATTTTAATTTAGGGATATTTTATGTTTTTTATAATTATATTCTAGCCAAGTCTGTGTTAACAAGCATAAAGCAGTTTTATTTTGTAGAGTGAACTGCAGCTTGCATGCTTTGGCTGTTTAGTACCCATTTAGTATCTTGTGGTGCACTTGAACAGAACTTTAAAGCAATGTCATAGCCAAGATAAAGACCATACGTGCACTATACTAAAGTGTTTCTCTTTAGAAAATTGTCAAATAGTATTTTAACTTAGCCATCATGGATGCATACTTCTTTAATTAATGAAAATTTAAGGTTTGGCTGTGGGCCTCCCTCATATTTAGGTTCCATCAGTTCAAGTTTGGAAACTCTTGAAACTGGTTATATTTCTTCTCCATTAGTTTAGTCATAGTAGCCAAACTTAGTAATAATTTATTTCAGTGCAGCAACTGTATTTTATATGGAAATACAAATCATAGGACAGACACATAGTGGTTAGCAGTATATACATACTGACCACATCATGCATGCAGTACACAGAAACTGCATAATTATTAGGGCTTGAAAAGCAGGGGTGCTATAAATGTTTAAATGTCAATAAGCAGTTTTATGCTTTCCATCTGTAAAGTAGAATTGCAGCATGTCAGTGTTACAAATATAGAGTGCGATTCTGTTAGAAAGGTGTTTTTTATTCCAAGCTAAGCATTATCCCCAAAACAAATTTTTAGTTTTAGAATTTTTCGTAGGGGTTTTCATTGAATTAAGCTACACGCCTGTCTGCATCTCTGTACACTTTTTAAATGAGAGAGAAAATATATTTAAAGGACTCCCCATAAATCTAACAATGTAGTATTAAATACATGTCTATCTCATGATCCTTAAATGATTTAGTCATTTAATTATGACTTGTCCGAACAGTAGATGAACAAATATTTGAGAAAATATAATAAAAAACGTTATTGCAGTCAGTTATGCAAACTCGTCAGTACCTTGTTGTTGCTCATTGTCTTTTTTGAGCCTGTTTATATTTTCCGAATGGCTGTATAATTAGATTGGCGGCTTGTGTGCTAAGAGGTCACAAGGTCACGTCCCACGATACCTCTGTAATTTTTGAATGCTAAAGAGATGTGAATCACATACACAAATTTGGAATAGACTGCAATGGGGAAGAAAGCAGACGTATCAGTTGATAAGTTGATGGCTTCCTCAAGCATCTGTTTCTCGAGAATTGTTTGAACGGTGGGGGTGTCTGTTGATGGGGAGAAACAATAACATTTTGGAATGTATTATGGCAAACCAGGAGAAATATGGATACCCTTGTGGAAAAGAGACGGTCTGGATCCTACAGCACGTTCTAAAGAGGGTGAAGGAAACGCATCAGTGTTTATGATTATTTTGCTAATATAGCAACAAAAACTAGGCTTTGACTAAGCATTTTTTCCCTCTGAGACTCAAGAGTTTTGCAGTCTGAACATTGTGCATTACTTTTATTATATTCCATTCAATATTCCTATAAAGGTGCTGTAGTATAGCAGCAGAATCCTCCGGGGCTGTACAGTTTTAGACAAGAAAATATTTTCAGGTTGACTACAGATTCATCTGCTTAAGTGTATTTGGATTTTTGTGTTTTGTTTGGATATTTAAATAGGCGTAGTCATCAAATGTTTTGCTAGAGTCATTGTCTGGTATATTTCATAGAAAGAAACACCCTTCAACCAACAGAGGCTCACTCAATGATTCAGGAGTTCAAGAGTCAGTCTTTTAGCATGGTGCTTCTCATGGCTGTGGGGATGATGTCCATAATGGATCGCATTGTGTCAAAAACTGAAAGTAATGGAGAGACTTCATGTTCGACATGCTGCGAAGCATTTGAACGCAAGGTATTGTAATGGCTGATCATGCTAGGAATCGAAGAAACAGGAAATTGCAAATGAGAGGAGGCTAGTGAAGAGTAGCTGAATGATCCAAGACTATTCAGTGACACAACAGTTGCAACATGACTTGGCAGCCTTATTCCATTGATTCCTGACCTCCTTCATGTGAATAAGTGCCTTCTGTCCTCATTCCTGATTATGCATTTATTATCCATTTATGTCCCCTTCTCATGATCCCGGTGTTGAGGCCGAAGGGGAGGTCTGACGATACTGCTGTTGCCTTTCCTTTCAAAATTTGTCAAGCAAAAAAGATATTTTAAATCTCTCCATGTACTTGGAAGAAATATGTAGGCATGTATGCAAGCTTCGTCATGGGAAAATTTCAGGTTTGTGATAAGAACTGTGTGTCTGCTTGTGAGGCAGTGTTCCTCTTGCATTTCTTTCAGTATCCTTAAGATCATTCTGTAAGCATGGTTGTTAGATTTCACTGTGCAGGCACTTTGTTCCCAGTGGCTACTCCGGTAGCCATGGCAACGGCATCCCCCACAAAGATGGTGACTACTACTTCTCGCTTTACTAATTGTGAGCAAGCCAGGCATAGCTGCCAGCTTGCTTGATTTACGAAAGTGTCTTTTGAAAGGAAATACTAGGGGCTGTGTTTTTTTTTTCAGGTTTAAAAATAGTGTTCCAGCCTACATCTACTTGGCCAAGAGAAGGTCCTCGGGTTAATGTATATGGTTCGCATTTAGAAAAATTTCAAGTGACCTATAACCCATTTTTATTTCTTGAGATTTGCAGATAGGCAGAATGACCCCACACTTGCTAAAAGGACTTACAGCTAACTTTGGCCTAGATGAAAAGACAGTGGATGAACAGGATTTATGTAGGGGAAGAGTGTGTGTTTGGTTATACAAAGAAAGACTGGCCTTTTGCATTGGGTGTGGTATACATAGCATTCATAAACGCACGTTTTATAGACCTGTCATTTTTTTGTATACTCTAAAGCATCTAATTTTTCTTAAATTTTGCAAACTGTCTTGTTAATTTTTTTCTTTTTTGGCCGTTTCTTAGGTTTAACCAGTTTGAGTACATTTGGGTGGACCTTACTACTGAACTGAAGACTGCTGAGCTGAACTTTTTATGAACAAGTTGGGAATATTTACCCATTGAAACTATGACAGTCAAGTGAGTCACTTTTGTTTAATATTCAGTCACAACCGATTCAGGAAATGCATCCCTTAAGGATGATATTTGCATCTGCTATTCACTACCATACTGTATATTATATCTTTATGATCATCATTGCTTAGTGCTGTCAAAGATTACAGACCCTATCAAGAATATAAAGGCCTCTTGTCCCACTGAAACTTACGTGATTTGCATTGTGGTTAATTTGCATCCTCATTTGCTCTGGTATGTTTGCAGTCGCTGCTGTCTGCTTTTGTTTTCTTCGTAAAACCATTCATTTGGAAACATTGAACCAGTGCCACCAACTAGCTGCTCTGTCCTGGGATTTCTTAGTTCACAGTGCAAACAATGAACAAAAAATAGGCCACAAAAATTAGTGCAACTTGCAATCCAGTGTTGTGGACAGCTGATTGGGGAAGGAAATAATGCAGGGTTACAGACATTTGTTTGTATTCAGGCAGTTCAGTATATACATTATAGTGACTTTACTGTTTATTATTGTTGCTGTCAAAAGTGTGTTTCGCCACCCTTTCTGGCTATTGGACAATAAATCCCTCGTGGTGCACACACGGGTGCAAATTTAAATATTTAATTAGCACTACTGCTAATTGTAACTTATGAAAAAAGTCACTTCAGGTCAGCAAATCCTCTATAAACAATTCAGTTTATTGGTATATAATATTGGATTAGTATTTTTTGTTGCTGAAAACCTTGTCTGTTACTGATGCTTTAAGCATTCACTCCAGAACAGCTAGTGTTGAAGGAGGTAAGGTCCATTACATTGTTTTTTAGCTTGCTATGTATATGAATATTTGTTACAGGAAAAAAAGAAAACTACATTTTAGATGTTGCTCTTCCAATAATAGATTGTAAATGGAGGCATTATAAAATTAGATTTTAAAAACGTCTTAGAATAGGTATGGAATGTCCAGGTGAGTACTTATGAAATTTTCATCTGATGTTACATCATGTTCTTCACGTTCATTCTTTCAATGAGAAATTAGTTTGTTTTTCACTGTTTTGTCTAAGGTCTTCTTGAACTGGGGTAGACCTACAAGATATAATTGTGCTGCAGAAAACACTGTTTCAAAAGAGTGTACTTTAAAAGAAATTGCGAACGCAAATAAAAAGTCTTATTAAAAGGTAGATGCTACATTAATCTGTGGAGTCACAGTGGGATCACAGTGTACTGGATTCTGTTTGGTTGGTTATCATTGGGAAAGTTTAGGTATAAATACAGTAACCCGTTAACGCAGTTGGTTCTTCAGCTACCCATAAACTGCCATCATGGCAGTACAAATATGCTCAACATATGTGGGTGCAGAGCCTCACATAATGAAAATAAGCTGACTTTCCATTGAGGTAATACTTAAAATATGCACCTAGCACAAAATGGAGCATGCAAAAACAATTATTTGATTGCATAGCTTCGTTTATTATTTAAGGCCTGTTGTTTAGTGTAGTAGGGGGAGTATTATAGTAAAAATCTAAACATTAAATTCCTTTTAATACATGACAGTTATTTATATAGCATAAAATATTACAACTTAATTTCTGTGTAACAATGTACAGTATGCAACATCCATACTATATTTCCATGACCTTTAAATCGACTTATCAACAGAACAATAAAAAGAGGTACAGTGCCAAAATGTGAAAAATCAAACTGTTGTTTTATAAAAGCAAATGGTTAAAAGAATCAATGTTTCAGCTACGGTATATTGGACAACACTGGCAATCTTTCACATAACATTGATTTTACAAGTTCTATATTTTCTCACTATTTAGTAAAGTGTCAGAGTACTAGACCTTTTATTGCAACTTTAGATGACTTAACAAGTCTTTTAAATCTGTTACTATTATTTGTGTAATACTGCCAACATGAAAACGTTTTTCTTGTCAAGTAATTATAAAAAGATTAGAAATATGAAAATCCAGAAAGGTTGGACAGGATCCTAGACTTTTTCATTATAAGATAAAACTAAAGAGATTTAGCTGAAATGTTTATTTTAAGTGACTGATGTCACAGGAAACAGGTTTGTGTACTGGGGCTTATACAGGGACTGGTCATGTTGTGTGCTACATACTGTGCAGCACCTGTTCATAGCACAAGAAAATCAACATTAACTCCTTACATGAAATCCTCAGTGTGATTTGCATTGAATTTTATTTACAATTTGTTTCTAATGAACTTGTAACTGACTTTAAAAGAAAACTTAAAATAAATTATCAATTGAATAAGCTTTTAAATTCAAAACAGAAAATTAAGTTTAATTCTTAACTATTCTTAACACTGTTAGACATCTGTGTGCATTAAGGAATTCATTTTTGTAAAAAAATGTTTTATAATATCTAATATGAAGGTGCTTAAGTTTAGAAAGCAGATAACATTGTATAAAAAAGGTATTAGGAAATGATACTGATTGATTTTTTAATACAAAGCTGAAAATATCTCCAAAACATTGCATTTCAAGGTCATATTTACAAACTGGAAAATTTAGAAGTCAAAATTAACAAGAAAACATTTTCATGGTGAAATTTTAAATAAGTGATGAGCTTTGACAAGCTGCCTAAAGGATCAAAGGTATCCTAGCAACCATAGCTGGGAGTGATGGAGGGCCACATTTAGTTGTCCATTGTTCTGCCTGTGCTGGTCAGTGTTTGAGTACAATTGTTCGTCTGGAAGAATGATAAATGTTCTGCCAAAAGGAAGTTAAGAAGAAGTGAGGAATTGACCCTGTCACTGCCACAAAACAAAGCTTTTCTCTCCATGGCACTGTTTAAAATTCATGCTGTCTTGGGGTTTGGTGATTTAGACTTTGGTCTGAAAAAACTAATTCTGTGTTTAAACAGAATACTGTATGTCCTTCACATACAGATTTTTTTTTCTAATGTAGCTGTCAGTAGACTGACAATTACTCTTTCAGGTGTATATATGATTCCTGATTAACACTTCATGTGCTTTCTTTTCTGCTTCCTTCTTCCTTCTTCCTTCTTCAAAGAATATATACATATTGCTGCTTAAATGTGAATAACATAATGTATTTCTACCTTGAAGAAGGTGGAATCACGAAATAAGCTTCTTTATTATTAGTACTGTAGAACTCTGTCTAGAAGATGTCCTTGTCAAGGAAATATTGATAGTAATTTTTTTTAAATAAAGGTAAACATTTTTTCCTCTTTTGGTGTATTAAATTCCTTGATAGCGATGTTGACATTAAGCTACTTCTAATGTCACATTAGTGCTTTAGTACTGATAGCGTTTTTTGTTCAAACATTCAAATCTCTGTAATCTTTTGCCTTGTTAGAAACTTTCACCTACCACTTCCAAAAGTGCAGCTCTGTTCTTTCTTCCACAAAAGGGAGCCAACTGCAGTTGTGCAGAAAAAATAAAATGGCTAAGAAGAGACAATGAACATTCACTAAGACAAAATTTCAGTTATTGGCGTATTAACTGGAAATGTGTTACTCGGGTTAGGGTTAAAGGGGTTAGGGTAGTGATGGTGGAGTTACTTGTGAACAGTGCATATTGAAAGCGAAGACCAGACTGGAATTTAGAGCACTACACAGTAGCCCTCCCCCTGCCCCCAGTGCTTGTAATTCCGGAAGGCCTGTCACCACAGGGGGATGATTATACATCTGAATCGTGACAGTCTGTTCTAGGATGTTAAGTCAGCCGCCACTGCTGTCGTTCAAGAAGGCTAGCATGTTCAGCCACCTCATGTATGAGTGCTTGTATCTGATTTGTGATAGAGATGCAGCAGGTTAAGGCCACACATCTTAAAGGTTCAGGGTTCAAGTAGCTGTCAGACGAAGCTGACGGGCTTGTTTAGATAGTCATCTCATTTCTCCATGAATGAATATATAAATTGTCAGCCCCCCCTCAGTATGCTGGGAGAAATTCTCAGCCAAGTCACCTAGTAGTAGGTTCTCTTCACCCTTTCTTTCTAAGTCTACCAGAGGAGTGAAATTCATGAATCGTGTGTTCCTTGCAGACAATGTAATATTGTCATATTTGTCCAGATGTTTTTTTGTTGAATATTTGTTTACTAAAGTGTTTTGAGCTACAACTGCTTGAAATGTGTGGATTTCCATGTCTCTTACTGCATATATTCTGTTGATTAATATTGGAATTGATACGTTGATAGATAATATGATATGATAGATATTTACTATTTACCAATATCAATGGCTGCTGGTGTGACTCTTGATGGCCCTAAATGAGTTGAGATCTCCACAAAGCTAAGGTCACATTTAGCTAAATGTGAATGTCAGGTGAAGTAAAAAAAAAACTGTTACCCTAGCTGGTGCAGTGATCCTTGACCTGTGACCTCCAAAGCTCATGAATTTGGAAGTCTTCTCCTCTGGCCCTCAGGGTGCTTATTACCAAGGCAGTTAAATTTTTTGCTGTTCCTCAACTTGGCTTTATATGGTTAGAGTGGCCACTGGCAGCCTTTCTGAATGTATCATTGCAGTCTCTTATTTTAAAATTTTGGTGTGAACCAAAACTGCTAAACTTCAGTTTGGGAAGATTCATCCTTTAGATAAGCTTCTTCTTTTTGCTGTTAAAAAAACATGATTTTTTTTTAAAAAGCTAGTTAAGATGTGTTTTCCAAAAGATGTCCCATTGTGAGAAAAAACCTTGTTAGAATTCACAGAAATCTTTTTTTATTTACTTAATGGAATTCAAGTGAAAGTGTGTTACTGCACAGAATATAGTCTACTACCTGTAAGATAATACAAAAAAGTTGTTAGTTGCTGCTGTAACCAACCTTGCATGTCAAACTATTGAGGAACACAACTGTTTGATTTGAGTTTTCTTATTTAATGTTTTTTTAGTTTTTCTTTAGTTTTAATCGTATACAATTGATACCATGTAGCTTAGTAACTTTTTATACCTGGATGTAATGTACAGTATAAGTCTTTCAATGAGTCCATCATATCTGTGAGAGAGTGGGAGGTTGTTTCTAAATAAATCTTGTTGATTTGTGCACCAC